TTTATTGAATAGACAATAACATTTGAAAGCTCTTTTTCATCTCGTCAGAAAGGAACAGCTACAAAAAGCTACATATCGTATTTCCCCCAAAAGAACTAAACCTTACACTTGCACTTAATTTTCTTGGTTCCTGTAAGAGATATCTAAAATTTGCAAATTAAAAAAAACGTTGAAGATACAGTGCGGTCAATATCTTTAGGACCCCCTAATTTTGAAGACTCCAGAAGAACGGGAATATCTATCAAAATCCTGTAAACGCCATTCGAATCAAGATCAAAAAAAAACTCCAGCGGAAAAATTTTCATGATTCTACCATTACGGTAGTCACAATAATGAGAACTCAAAATAATCTCCGCTCATCTCAGAAATACCCTTGGAGCAATTTTTCTGTGAACAAAATAAAATTGCAAGAACATTTAGACTAAAATAAAAACAATGGACTAAAATCTGTAAATTGGACTAAAAATTGGACTAAATGAACTAACAAAGTTATATGATCAAAAAATAACAAAAATAATACGTTCTTTATGTTTTCATCTTATTATGTAGAATCTAATTTTTCCTCTGGAATCTGTTTATAATGTATTCAGAACCTCCAAGAAACTGAAATTCAAACTTACGGGATTTTGGAATTTCGAGAAATCAGGCTTTTAAAAAACCGGTAAATTTATTCTGAATTTCTGTTCTTGCCGACAGAGCTTCTTTTCAATTGTTAAATTTTTGGTTATTTTAGATATGCTTTAAAATAACTGCTCAAACTATTTTTTCCCTCTTCCTTTCTGGGTTTTGACCTAATTACAAATTTCAACTGAAACCCTTTTTGTCATTTTTGAAAATAATTCTATATCATTTATTTTTAAAGCTCAAACTCTTTTTTTCAAAATGGAATTTCAATTTCTGGATGTTCAAATTTAGCTCCGCAAACCCTTGGCGACGATGTCATTCAGTTAGGACATAATCAATAATATACGTTGTATAGTATATTTTTATTTTCTAAATCGGCCAGAAAAAGTATTTTCAAACCGGATAACTTTGAACTTCGATAACGAATGTGTAAACAAATAAATGAATAATTTTTATCTAGTTTCTTTCGATGATTTACTGTATCCGGTTCAAGATGTTCGGAACCTTGTTTCATAAACTTGTTGTTTTTTATTGATTGTGTAGAGCGTATCGAGAGATTCGAGAGTCGGCTCTCTCGTTTTCCCTTTTCTGTGTCAGTGTCTCCGTCTCTACTCATTGACTGTCCACGTGCTGCCGTTGGCTGTCTATCTCTTCTTCTGATATTTTATTTTTCCACTTTTTCTCTATAATAGCCACTTTTTCGTTTTCTCTTTTTTTTTTGCCCGTACTGCTTACCAACTTCTCATGAGTCATGTGGACAAACATTTTTTGAGTTTATCGGGTTTCCTCCGTACTAATCAAAAACGATTTTATACTTCAGCGGTAGCTTCAAAAAGAATCGGTGCCCCTTGATACGGATAATATGAAACCAGAGAAGGAGAAAAGTCGAGAAGAAATAGCGGTGAGTTTAATTTTTCATTTTTCTTACGATGAACAAAGAGAGATGCATCTCTTTTCTTCCTTGTTTCCAGGGTTGTCAAAAAAAGCCAAAACTTTAAAAAAGTTGAATTTCAAAAAAACATAGTCTGAAAGAACACCTTAATATTAATAAATTTATTGATAAAAGGCCGAAGCCACTGATATAATCAATGCACAGTAAAAGGTTAATAGTTGGTAGGGTATAGAATTAAAAAGGGGTTCAGATCTACGTAAAGGTTAGTTCTAAAAGACTGAGAAGAAATAATGTAAATGTCGGGGAAGGCTGATTGGGGGAGGGAGTTCCCGATTGGGGGACGGAGTCCCTTATAAGCATTCACAGTTTTTTGATGATACTTTAACACTCTGAAAATTTCTTTGTTTTATTGGAATGTTGTGTCCTCTGGAGTGTTTAATTCTTTAGGATGTCTGGATTGAATTACCCGAATTTCAAATATGATGTTCAATTCTTTTCGAGAGTACTATCAATATACAAAGCCTTTTAAAATGTGAAGTTCCGAATTTTCAGGAAGAAAAACGCCGAAAGCTGTATGACAAAGTCCACAGAAGATATTACAGATACAACAAACGTTGCTCATGTTTGGAATCTCGCCTTAACTTAGGTCGTTATGGTTATAATCAGAGGGTGTCCATGCCTATGTTTGAAGAAAAAATAAGGAATGCCGATTTGGAAAAATTGAATTCTATTATGAAAGATGTGAAAGGTTGGGAAGATGCACTATATCGCTATGAGGCGATTCACTTGCCATTTACAATAATCATTGATCCTGAAGTGATTGTAGACGGTTTTTTCGACTTTTGGAAATCTACGGAGAGAAAATATGGAAATGTTAAGAAAACGATTTCCGAAAATTTCCAGAAATTTGGAAGTCGAAATGATTCGCGAAAACATTCTTACGGTTCTCAAACAGAACGATCCCCTTTTGTACAAACTACTGTAAGTTGTATATAAATACACTAGGTCATACGTTTTGTTAGGATTGATGGACCGAAGGGAGCTCCAATCAACGAGTGACACGAAAACTCGCTTGTTACAAGATCTCAACTAGGATTCCAGTTGAACTTCCTGCTTTTTGTACAATCGCTGCTAATCAGAAAGAAAAAAAAATAAATTGTAATAACTGTCCTTCTTTTCTGTAAAGATTTATAAAATATTAAATCATAAACATTTGAGCTGTTTTCTCATTTCATATTTTTCTTTGAAACGCAATGAAACTATAGATTCAAACACTTTATGAGATTTCTCTTTCTTATTATTTCATACAAAAAGTTCTTCAGTCTATACAACATTCTCAATTTCGAGCACAAAATATGTAAGAGATATAATATAACTAAACGGTTAATTCTATTGAATTTGAAATCTTCAAAAAACTAGGTGGCAAAGTTTCACATAACTCTACTTTTACCATAGAATCGAAAACTCTCGAAAAAAAACGAAAATCGTGAGGCAAATTTTGAGGCACCAATTTCTGATCTGAATACATTTATCAACCTAATTTTCAAAGCTTTTCAGAGACGCAATTTTTATTCATTTTCACTGGTAATGAAAAACTCCCATGTACTAGAAATTATGTCAAAAGTTCCACTTTTTCTTCATAACCTTAGAAATCCATTCCTGAAACAAAAAGAAGACCTAAAATCTCGTTCTCTATTCTCTTTTCATCTCCTCCTCATTCAGTTGAATCATTCTCATCTCTCAATTCTCCTCGAGCCCTTTTGATCAATCCTGGTGCATGCTACCCGAGGATGTGCTCTTCTTTTTTCTTTTTTTTCACCCTCTTCTTTTTTATCTCTGCTCTCTCACTCTCTCGTCAAAAATTGAACACGAATTCTCTCCTATTTTCCCATCTTAACCTTCTCTCACCATCGTGTTCCTCACCCTCCCTTCTCCCAATTTTTTCTTTCTTTCTATCTTTGCGTCTCAATGTCTTCCCAGCACCATTTCTCTCTTTGGGCGCTGTCCCTTCATTCGTTTGTTTTTTTGTTCACCTCTATTGATTCAGCATAGAAACATTTTTTTTTAATTTCTAGAATGGAGGAATTCACCAGTTTACTGGATATGCTCTCTCCAGATATGGCTGATGGTCTTCTGAAACAAATGAATCCAGTTGACATGTAAGTAGTACGGTAGCACGCTAGTAAAGAAATGGGAAGTTAACTAGAATTCATTCCGATAGAGACGTTTAGAAGTTTTGAGCTGGTCCTTTTTTTTCAGAATCGAGCTATCAAATGTATCACCACAATGGGAACATGTAGTAAAATCCAATCAAACTGAAATCAAAGAGGTTCATGTCAACTTAGAAGGAATGGAATATCGTAGGTGTCCGTAAAATTAACTCTACCAATAAACAACACGCATTATTTCAGATTGGAGAGAAAAGACATGTGCGATTCTGGGAATTAAACCGGTTCAACGCAGTTTTGTACACTTTCTTTTCTATTACAGAAAGGAAGAAGAATTGAAAAAAATGTTGGAGGATCCGGAAGATCCAACTTTTGTTGAGAAAGTTTTTGATGATGAAACTTTCGTATGGTAAGTACAGAGCTGTCCAAACTGTCGACTTTGAGATCAATTATCTCGTTTCCTGTTAAAGACATCAAAAATTGTCAAATGATAAATTATTTATCATAACATTTCCAAAAATGAAAAAAATGTTAGAAAAGCACAGAAAAATTCATAGTGTTTCATTGAGTCTGCTAATTCTGTAGGCGTCTCTAATAAAACACAGTTTAGCGCCTTATTTCACTGAATGGTAGTTTATCTGGTTTAATTTTTAAATTATGGTTATGTTTATCGGTCTTTTATGTTGAAAAAAGTAAATCATTCTTATAATAATTAAATGAAGTTGCGTCTCTTTGTTTCTCTGTCAGTCTGTCCGAACACGTGGAAAAAGTTGAAATAAAATAAAAATTGACGTGACCCTTCGAATAAGACAGAGGAGCGATGCGACGAACAGTAAAAGAAACATGTTAATTTGCGCCGAAGGCGCACCAGCCAGCTGTTTGAAGCGCCGGAGGCGCGGCAAACAGACTGGTAATAAATAAATGAAGTTGCGTCTTTTTGTTTCTCCTTCAGTTTGTCCACACACGTGAGAAAACTTTGAATAAAATATCAATTGACGTGACCCTTGAGTAAGATAGAGGAGCTAAGCGACGAACAGTTAAAAACAAGGTTATATTGCGCCGAAGGCTCACCAGCCAGCTGTTTGAAGCGCCGGAGGCGCGGCAAACAGGCTGGTTATAATAAAAGGCTTCATCACAGATTCACATCTGCTGTAAATCTGCGATTTGAAAATGAATCAAGAAACAAAAGAAGGAAAGAATTCACGGGAAGATAAAAATTCATTGATTGAAAGGACCACAGATTCTTTCCTTCTTTTGTTTCTTGATCCATTTTTCAAATCACAGATTTACAGCAGATGTAAATCTGTGATCAGCAAGGAGAATGAAAAATATGAAAAGTTAATACATTTCAATCGAAAATATAAAAGCGTAAAAAATGTTTTTCTCTGGTCAAAATAAAAAATTTTGAAATTAGCCCTTTCGTATATCTTTCACAGGAACCGAGATAATTAGAGAAAATGTGGTAAACTTTTTGTAGATCTAAAGTTGCTCAATTTAAAATAAAAACAGGTAAAAGTAATAGTTTTGACCGATACTAGATTTGAGTTCAACATATTTTCTATTTTTAAGCCAAGTTCGCCAAACCAATATCCAAGTCTTCACACCAAATCCCAAACTTGCTCTTTTCAATGTGATTGATCATATGCTCCGTCTCTTCACAGGCACAATTCACATGGTGAACATTGCTGACTGTCTGCCAGTTTATGATGATATTATAATCCCGATTCTGAAAAAGAAACAAGTGAATATGTGCAAAAAGATAATGTTTCCGTTCTCCGTTGAGCCTGTATCCAATGCTCTTGCATCGAGAGTGATGGCGATTCCGAATTTGCACGCCATGGAGTGTCTTTTCAAGTTTCCTGATGACTTTCGGAGTAACAAGGTATGTCAGAAGCTGTCTTGGTGATTACTGTTAAAGTTTGTTAAATGTGCTCTTCCAATTTTTAATTTTGAAAATGCCAAATTTTTAGATTCAATTTTTTAAAAGAAGGGGGAAACTGATAAACAAAATGAATAAAATACTTCAAAGAAAAACGAAAAAAATAGGAAACATCAGCCAAAGTTTTCTTCAAGAATTCAGATGGATCAACCCTAAATGTTTTGTATTTTCAGAAAATCACAATTCCACATGTCAGAATCGGATCTTCCGCATGGATGACTCGTCACTATTTCTTGAACATGGATTGCGAAAACATAGTATTGACTGATTCGAACTTCGATGGGAAAGATATGAATGCATTTGTGAAAAACTGGTTGGAAGGAGACAACAAAAAATTGAGAAGAATGCAGCTGACTTGGTGTAATCCAGTGGACTGGAAAAGTAAATTTCAAAATCATATAATGGATGGAATCAAGGGAAACAAATGGAAACCAAAGGATAAAACCAGATCTCGATATTTCAAAATCAGAAAGTAAATGAAAACAGGGAAATCGAAAATCTAAATTAACTATTTTCAGAGGCCAAATCGATTGCTCATCTGGAATAGATATCACACGTTCAGATGGAGCATTTGCAACAATAATGAGAGACAATTACTCATTTTCCTTCGTCGTCTGGAACTATCCGGAAACAACAACTTCTTCTTCTTCTTGATTTTCACATTCACCTATTTTAATTTCAATATTCAATATTCAGTTTTTCCTCTCCATCCAAATTTTTATATATCTCGCAGTTTTTATTCTGTCTTGCAGAGAAACTCATTGCTGAACTAGAAAGTTCTCTAGATTAAGCTGTTCTGCTTCTCTTGTACATATGCCTTTCTAAAAAAATAAAATTGTCGAAAGTCAGATTTCAGATAGCAAGCTATTCTATATGCTTGTATAAAAAATCGGAGCTGGGAAAGAGACAAGCTTGTGGGCTTGGCCAACGGTCCCCATAATGAAGTCCACTGTAACCTAAAATGTTCGGATTTTTCGAAACTTTTGTGTTGAAAACCTTTAAACAACGAAAAATATAAATTTTCAAAATCTAAAAATTACATAAAAGCAATTTTTAGGCAACCTGCAAATCATTAAAACTGTGTTCTGCACAATCTTTATTCTATCGATTTAGCTATGTTTCGGCAACACACAAATTGCAATAACTGATAAGAGTTTGTTTCAAATGGTTGTATTCTTGTTCTGTAACATCGAAAGTTTAAACTATGAGTGCTCCATCAAGAGTTATTGAATTGACACCTGAAGTGGGTTGGTTTCTTAATCCTATATATCAACTTTTCCATTTTCAGGACCATGATTTGTGTCAGACTGAGGACAAAAAGATTCCCCGTCAATCGAAATATCCAAGAAGAAATAATGGAATTCATCAAGAAGAAATTACTTGATTCTATTGAACTGCAGCAATTCTTGGTCAGCAGAGAAATTGATTTTCATGAAAAGTAAGATCCTAATATTTGCATAATAATAATAAAGAACTGAATTCTCAGATACATTGATTCTTTGGCAAATCGAGATGATCACAGAAACTACAACAATCATAATGATCTGGAAGAACATGGAAGAAATGAGTGATGAGGACAAAGAAAAAACTCTCAATTACTGTAGAACTCAGTTGATTGGATTGAAGAAAAGATTGGAATGTTTGGGAAGAAGAGAACAAAAAGCTTGTGATTATTTGAGTTCTCCAATTCGACAACTCAATATTTTGTGTTCTTCGGAAACTGAAAATTTAAATATTTTGTTTTGCCTCGTTTATTATGCTTGTACCAGCAAGCTAGTGCGCCTTCGGCGCAATTCAATCTATTTTCTTTTCTCTCATAAAAGACGTCTTAATAACACTAACAATCATTTTTCAATTAACGACGAGAGATTGCCAACTGTTCAGAGGATTCGTGATTTGAGAGTCATTCTCAATTCGTCACTGACCTTCTCTGACCACTTCGCTACCACACTCCGGAAAGCACACCAACGGATTAACATTTTCTTTAATGTTCTCCGCCGGTCTAAAATGGATATTTTCGTAAAATGTTTTGTCATCTACATTCGCCCCATTCTTGAGTATGGTACAATTGTTTTCTCCCCCGTCCTCAAGGAGCAAATCAAGCTTCTTGAAGGCGTCCAAAAGTCATTCCTGTTCCGATGTTACAAGAAGTTCAACTATACCTATATATCCTACTTTGATTGTTTCCGTGATCACAATTTAGAATCCTTAGAGTTCCGTCGACTTCTATCCGATCTAGTTTTTATGTATAAAACTCTCGTTTCCCGGGAAATTGCAGTTGCCCATTGTCCCGTTTGTCCCGCATTGTCCCATTCATTGTCCCGTTTCATCATAATCATCTAAGACGCCACCCATATTACATTCGCTGTACATTAAAAAATGCTTCAAAACTTTCTGCTCAATTTCTTACTCTCCGTATTATATCCTGCTGGAACTCGCTTCCAAAAACCATGTTCCCACCCTTGATTTCATCCATCTCTTTTAAAACTAATTTAAGTCATGTTAATTTATCTTCTTTCCTGTTCCTAGACGAACATAATTTCTAACTCATTTTTTTAATTTGTAACACATTGATTTTATAAGTGACTGATAGTCCTGAATCAAATAAATTATTATTATTATGTTCGTCGCTTTGTTTCTCACTTTTTCTAAAAGGGTCACGTAAATATATACGTACTTTTCAATTTTTCAAAGGTCCACAGCCTGACATGAGGACGGACAAACGCCTCTAGCGTTTTATTAATAAGGAAGATTAAAAAATCGGAGGCGTGGAAGGGAAAATATTGTACCTGAACTACCGTAGTTAGCAAATGTTTTTTACTTCCAAATTGTTAGTTTTCTCGGTTTTCTACCGTTTCTTTTTTAGATTTACAAAAATGTTTTCTTTCGACTTATTTTCCTGGATGTTTCCAACACAAAAGTTGTCAAACGCAATATTATTCTGGTACAAAAAAATCAGTGGGAGAGAAACGCCGGCTGTCGGGGCTGAAGGTCCCACGGCGACAGCTACAGTAACCTAAAAATATTTTTGTTCGCCGAATTTATCCCGATTTTCGTGCGTTTTCATTCAAATGTTCACTATCAAAATTTGTATTTTACGGCTTTTTTTGAAGAAAAATAACAATAAGATCGACAGAAAGCAGTGAAAATCAAGAAAATTAATCCTCAAAATGAACATATTTTTAGGTTTCGGCAGTTGTCGTAGTAGGACCTTCGGCCACGGTCACCGGCGTTTCTCTCCCACAACTCCGATTTTTTGTACCAAGTTTATAGTAATAGAAAAATAAGTCAGTCAATTTTAAGTTACGGTGGCTTTCGTTAAGGGGAACATTGGCCACGCCCACAAGCTTTCCTTTTCCACATTTCCAACTTTGTAAAATACATACACAACAGTTTAATTTAATCATAATTCATTTATTGTCAATACACACATTATACATCTATTCACAGTATTTTATTTTGTTTAAAAGTATTAGGAACTGGTCTCTTTATCATCGTCGATACTGCTGAAGTCGAAGGTAGTCTCATGGCTTTCAACTTCTGTGTCATACGGATTCACGTCTTCCGATTCACGAAGCTCTGCGTAATCTTCCTCGATAGACTCTGTAGTTTCATTGATGTCTTCATGAGATTTATCGCCGAGAGTGGTTTCTTCTGCTTCTTCTTCTTCCTCAAATCTCTCCAACATTTCTCCAGTGGCCCTCGCCATTTCTTCAGTCACCCAAATCTGTTGCTCCGATTCTGGAGTTCCGCAGTTTTCCATCGTCTCCACAGTGACCTAGAAACAAAAAAGTTTATGACATTCGATTTCAGATATTAAGATTTCACCTTATAGACTGTTTTTGTCGGTGGCCCTTTCAGCACCCATTTTATATCCGCTTCCGAATATCTCGCCTCTTTCTTGAATTCGTGCAAACTGAAATTTAAAAAAAACAGTTGAAACACAAACTTCGTGATGTTACCTGAGACGCTTGTGAATTTTAAGTATCCAAAGTGGTCGTGGATCACTTCGACGCGAATTGCTTACCATTTTCTACTATCCGAAAACGAGAGAAATAAAACTTTTAATTTGATTTTCGAATTGGGTTTTCGAGGAATTCGCGGCATGTCGAGAAGGTCAAAAAGCTTTGGCGCAGAAAATTGATGTTGTGGACCTATATTTGTGACATAAATAAAATGTTGAATCTTGAAATTTTATGGAAATTGATTTGTGATATAAAATAGTAACAACCGGCTCTAGAAATCAATAAAACAGAATTGAAAGAAACTTTAAGAACGAGGGGCATCATATAAAAGTACAATAAAAATAAAGTTAATGAATATGTTAGATGTAGATGAATTTAGCGCCACGATGTGAAAGACGTATTTTTGTTGGCATTCGTCGAAGCTCCTCCTCCGAAAATTGAACTAGCTGGAGCCGTCGTTTTTGCTCCTCCTCCGAAGATAGAGCTGCCAGTTTGTGGAGCAGCAGCCGCGGCACCTCCTCCGAACAATGACGATGTTTGCTGGCCTGTTGCAAACTGAGCGAATCCACCACCGGCTGGGGCACTTGGTGTTGATGAAACTGCTCCACCGAAGATTGAAGCATTTTTACTCAATCCACTTGCCGGTGCTGCACCTCCTCCAAACGGCTTAGCTCCAAATACTGGCTGAGATCCGAACTTGGGGGCGCCGCCAAAAACAGAAGACGAAGTTGTTGATGTTGCCGGCTGTTGAGATGCTCCACCAGTCGAAAATGAGAAGGAAGGCTGTAAGAAGAAATTTAGGGAAAAATCATACAACTGTATTTGATTACCTTCTGTTGCTGTTGTGATGGTTGTTGAGCATTTCCACCGCCAAAAAGCCAAGAATTATTTGAAGCAGTACCAGTTGAAGCCTTAGGAGCGAAGGGATTGTTTCCGGTATTCGAACTGATAGCGTTTCCAGAGCTCCCGAGACCACTCATAAATCCTCCTGGTCCACCACCATTTACCATCGAGTCATCTTCCATTCCGTCATCAACATTCGGTACAGTTGGAGCAGTTACTGATGATCCGAAAGCGGACGATGTCTGAGCTGGAGCACCCCCTCCGAATGCACCGAATCCTGTTGATTTCGCTGGTGGGGCTGATGAACCAGTATTGAATGAAAATGAAACAGATGAAGTAGCTGGAGTGAGATTTTGAGCTTGTGCTGGCTGAGCCGATCCCTTTCCGAAGCTTCCAAATGGAGAATTAGTCGTTTTAGCGCCACCTCCAAAAATGCTTGAAGTATTTCCAGAAGCCACTGGAGTAGCCGTAGCAGCTCCACCAAAGATACTTGAAGAATTGGTTGAAGCAGGAGATTGTGTCCCGAATTCGCCACCAAAAATAGAAGGTGTTGAAGTGATTGATTTAGGAGTTGAGTTGAAAGCTAAATAAAAATAAATTCGAAATATATTTCCTACTGAAAGACTTACAGAAACTAGGAGCTTTTGGAGTGAGATCTGTTTTAGGCTCAGTGGCTGGAGGACTTGTTGTGACTGTAGGAGCTGGTGCCTCAACTTTTGGAGTTACATTAACTGGTTCCACTGGCTTGGGTTGCTCTTGCTTAACAACTGGTTCTTCTTTCGGCGTTTCAACTTTCCCAGTTGGAACTTTGACATCATCCGACTCCTGTTGCTTTTCTTCCACTTTCTTCACATTGGGAAGCTTTGTTTCCTCGTTTTTATTCGCTTCAGTGATCCCTTCTTTTTCTTCTTTTGGACTGATGTTCAAGGAGGAATTCAAAAGCGAACTACTTCCAGCTGTTGGTAATGGAGATGTTCCAGCTGATACTGGTGGAGCTTTCGGAGCTGTTGAACCAAAAAGACTCCCCGAGAAAATAGAAGAGGAAGTTGAAAGTGGGGCTGGAGTTTTTTGATCTTTGACTTCCTCTTTCATAGTAGCTACTTTCGGTGTAGCAATAGCTGGAACAGCTGTCGTCTTAGTTGTCTTCGGGAGAGAAGTCACTGGAGCTGTTGTAACTGGTTTCGCTGGGGATTCTACAGTCACAACTACGGTTTTTACTACTGGTGGTTCGTCAGCTTGCGTCGCGGCGTCTGCTTTTCTCGGTGGAGTTACATCTGCCGTGGTGAACAATGACGATGTTGGAATTACTCGTCTTGGAGTCATACTCAATTTCAGAATAGCATTTGACAGGTTCGAAGTGTCAAGTTCTTCCAATTTTTTAGTTTTTGGGTCATCCGCCTTCTTGTAAGACTCTATGATCACATTCCTTGTTTTCACTGGACCTTTTTTCTGTACCCTTGAAACTAGTAGTTGTCTGGCTTTTACGATTTCAGAGTCGCTCATTTTTCCACGTTGTGGAGCATTTTCTGCAGGAATGCATATTTCGGATGGTTGTGCCAAAGTGGCATTGGCGTTCTTTTTCATATCAGGTCCTTTGGAAATTTCTCGTTTGAAACGTACGAAATCCAATTCAGTTCGTTGAATACGTTCGCGGGTGTCTAAGATGATTTTGGTTACGTTACGCATGACTTTTAGAGCGATTTCCGACTCGGCACCATGGCGAAGCTGATTGAGATTCGAGTTATATCGAAAAGGGGGTAGAACAGCTTGCTTCCGAAGAGATTCCTGTAAAAAACAATAAAATGATTTATCTAGGGGAAAAATGAATTGCCTTTTCAGCCAAGTTTGTTCTCAACTTCTTGATCTTTTCACAACACTCCTCGTACTTTCCATTCAATAAATCAGCAGTTGTTTCTAGTTTATTGAATCTCATCATTTTCTCTGTTTCGGACATGCTTCGGAGCTTTTCCAGAACTCGCTCACCGTCATCAACGCCAGCAACCAATTCCATTTTTTCGTCAATTTCAAAATCCATCTCTTTTACCGTATGTTGAGTTCTATCCGACATTCGTTCTATTAATACAATCAGGTTCCTCAGTTCATCCATCACTTCTTTTGAATCTTCTAAAGATGCTTGAACCACTTCCGCGCATTCCATAACACAGTTTTTCATTTTTCCCACAGCAAATGACATTTTCATGATGGAATCTTTCGTAGACGTCATCATCAAATTGATCTTGCTGACACGATCAAGTAATATTTTTTTCTTAGCTGCCAGCGCTTCAGCATTCTTGTTTTCAAGAGCTTTCAGATCTTCTGCAGTAGAAGAAGCCGGTGTGAGTGTGGTAACCGGAACTAGTTTCGATTGAGGGGCAGGCGTCGTTGGGGTAGCTTCAGGAGCCGCTGTGTTAGCTGGAGGTGATATCTTGCTGCCGCCAAACAACATGGAAGCAGTCGGTGTTGATCCCAGAGCCGTAGTCGGTGTTGATCCCAGAAGAGCATCTGCTGGCTTCGGTGTAGACAGTGGTGTACCAAAAATGTTGGATTTTGGAGTTGGAGCGACAGATTCCAACTTGGGTTTTTGCTCGAAAATTGTAGATGGCTGTGCTGTCGGAATCTGGGCGGGCGAAGCTGAGGAAGCATTTGAAGAAGTGGAAACAGCTTGAGTCAGCTGTAATTTGGCCAATCCGGTAACACCAATACTCTGACTTTCACTGAAAATAAATCATCGATAAACTTGTAATTATCGATAAAACTCACATTTGACAAAGCTTATGTGCTGTGACGGTGCTTATGACATGATGAACGGTGAGCACTCCGTCGTTGGTGAGACACAAAACAAGTGGAGATGGACGATGCTTCCGAGACCCATCCTGTTCTGAAAATGAAATGATGTAAATAGAGACATGGTGTGATCGTACCTAACGATACTTCTTCTGCCATAGATCTGTCAATTGTTAGTCCAATCGGAACAGTGTCTTTGCCACTCGCTGTGGTTGGCAAGTAGATTCCTTCTCCTTCCACAGGAACCCAAGTTTGCCACTCGTCTCTTTTACCCACAGTAGCGATTTCACTTGTTTTTGAGTTTCCAACAATCACAACATTCCAGTCAACTAGTAATTGAGAAGCAGGGAAGAGGAAAGCAGGGAAGGTCCACTTTGAAGAGGAATAAGAGAGCTCATGGTATTGCATCCATTCAGTGGGTTTGTCTTTCTTACATCTCATCAGATACGCGTCATGATCCGTTCCTCTTTCAAAAGAAACAAGCCATTCAGTAGTTGCAAGCCAGCATAGGCCAGTTACTTTTCCATAAGCGGGAGTGTGTTTTGGTCCAGCCTGACTTCTAACAACATCCAGCTCCGGCTTCAATTGTACGATTTTTCCTAACGAGTCTCCAATCGTTAGTTGTTTTCCCTTCGGGCTCCAACTGATCGCAGTAGTGATAGCTCCAAGTTTCCCGATTCCAATGAGTTTTTGACTGGATGGATTTTTAACATCGATCTTTGCAACCATTATACTTCTATCGGTAGATGAAGCTGCGAACGTATCCGGAAACGCAGGATTCCATTCAAAACAACTTCCTTGGTTGACTTGTTCTGTACCAACACGTGTTGAGCAGATTGGTTTGAACGGAACAGAACTGACAGCTGAGCAGAGAGATTTTATATCGAATACATCTACAGAAACATCATTGTTTCTAGTTTGTAAAACTGCCAGCAGTGTGCCGTCAGAGTTGACTCCCATATCGTTAATCTCTTCAACTCCGTGTAGTCCGATAGATTTGGCAGAAAGATCCGTCACTTCAACAATCATGTTCTCCCGAGTTACTTTGTAACTGAGTAGACTTTTCGTAGGAAAACATAACAGCTGAAAACATGAGTTATAAATCACTGTTCTAATTTTAGGGATATTCACCTGGTTAGTGCCTACAAGAGCAAACGTCACTCCGAGTTGTGAAGACGTAGCAAGACGATTTCTGATTGTTTTTCCAGCAGGAACTGTGTCAACCTTCTCGGAGAATATCCTGAACTTTCTACACGTGTGGTAGTAGAAGTCGGTGACCTGAGACACATCCTGCGCCACTTCATCGGTCGCCATTACTGAAAAGAAGAAGATTATTTGAAGATAAGTGACTGAAATGGCTGATCCACTAGCGACACAAGTGAAACCGCCAGCAGCACCGGTGGATAATGCAAAACTGCTTGCTGATTTGAAAATCAAGCTGATGCACATGAAAAGAGGTCTACTCGGACTAAAACAAGAGCTTAAAAACCGAATGGAACTATGGGAGGCTGCTCTGGAAGATATCGAGAATTTGGAAGGAATGGTTCGGAAATTTGTAAAAAAATTTTCTTCCTAACAAAGAACTGGTTTCAGGCAAACGAAGCTAAAGCGAATTTTAAGAAGCAAAAGGATGACATGAAGGCGGAAAAGAAAACGGGTCCGAAAAAATCGAAGGATGAAGACAAAAAAGATGAGAAGGTGGACGATGGTATGGATGACCAGAAAAATCCGGAAGAAGAAAAAAAGACCAGCAATGAGAAAAAGGACGACAACGACAAGAAGAAAGATATTTGATAACCTATTTGATTATTTAATACATAAATCGTTTCTATAAAGTCTCAGAGATTCGACGGGAGAAAACTGGGAGAGAAAGGGGGTCTGGCGAAAACGCCGAGAGAACCAGGTTCGAACGGCTGCAAAGCTGCTAAAATAGGCGCACCTGTAAAGGAGGAGCGTCGTTGGCAAAAACAGTTTTTTGTAATTTATAATATTCAAAGTTTTATTCATGCATATGTTCTATTTATGTTTACGGCTTCTATAGAATACTGCGATTTTTATGACCGACAAAAAAAACGACGATTTTGAGAATTTCGAATTCGGAGAGAGCTCTGCAGGTAACATTTTTTCCGTCTTTTTCAGCGTTGAATGGTTTTGTAAAAACTATGAAAGAGATAACCGAAAAAGGAAGAAGAGATCGATAAATTGCTCTCACCTCAATTTACACTATTTCAAAAGCTCTGAGTTTCGGAAATCGCGGCTTGTAGTGAGCAGGTTAGTCTGGAAATCTAGTGACAAAAAACATGCGTGAAATTGCAGGCTTTCAATGGAATAAAGAAAACTTTCAATGGAATAAAGAAGTTATGACTCAATCAAAACGATTTAAATATATCGGGATTAATTATATAAAATGAGTTATCTAATGAATGGATTTTGACGCGGCATTCTCAGTACGGTAATTATGTACATGGCTGTTGAACTCATCCGCTTAAATAGCGAAGTTGGTTCGTCATGCCGGAAAATTCGTTTATGATCTAAATACTGTTAAGAGGGTTTCCAGAAGAGTATACAAATGAACTTCTCAGGAGTCGCTTTTCTCGTCATTGTTCCTAAATATTGCGAGAAACATTCGGTGAAAGTTTGCCGTTTAGTGCAAAATCTCTCGGATAACGTCACTCGGAATCAACATGGAAAACTTGGGAACCTTACGTTGTCAGGAAAGATAGAGAATATCTCGATTTACTGAAAACGATGAGTTCAGTGTAGGCTTTGAGTGAGTTTATTGACAACATCACATAATTAAAAACCTTGTTCTTTCAGTTGAATCGTCTTTGATTTCATAAAGAATATTCATCCTATCTACAACCCCAAGCCTATGATGATTGAAAGAGAAATTACAAACCTGTAAACAATGAAAAGCTAAAGAATTCGAATTGGGATTTTATTTTCTGAAGAACTGAAAGAAAGTGCATTTAGCTTGCACTAAGAAGCGAAGAAGATAACTTATTAAATGAATCTCAAGGAAGAGTACACATCGTCCGCTAGAGGACATAAATGTACTATGAACAAAACGGTATGAACACTTCCCTTTTGCAGACTTATGACCTATATCTCATTCCAGAGCTCCAGTCGCCATAATGCTACAAGCTGCAAAAATACGAGAGCACTAAAGAAGGTTTGCAGGAGAGTTCCGGATATCGTGATTCACTTCGAAGTTCTGAATACTGCGATACCGGAGCTGAGAATAAGAAGTTAGCTCACATTTCAATACAATACATTTCATGAGGTTATTTTTTTACTTTTTAGTTATTTATACTTATATTCTTCCTATTCATTCGATTCAATAAATATTTTTGTTAATTAGTTTGATTTGATTGTTAAATAAGGGGCGAAAATTTAAATTCCACTAAACTGCGCGCGCAAACGACACTCCGCCGCTCGTTCGAACCAAGAGAGAAGCTGCAGAGAACACAGTGACATATCTGTTCGACCCAAAACCTCTCCCAGTTCGAACCGATATCTCTCCCAGTTTTCTCCCGTCGAATCTCTGAGGTTTTCCTCATTTTTCAAGATTTATTTCATAAATGCGAAATTTCGAAAATGCGCCAACGCACCGAAAAGGTGTCATACCACTGGAAACGCGCAAACAACGCCGGCGAAAAATTTCGCAAGACTGCAGCTGAATTCGCCGCTTTTCGTCTAGAATCTCTGTCGGTTTCTATTTCTGAAATTCGGCGACAATGGCTCCAAAAGGACCGACTCCCGATAAAGCTAGATTGGGACTGCCTGATAGATGGCTACATTGTCCAAAAACGGGAACGGTTCGTGAAAAGTGTGATTTGAGTGATTCTTACACATTTTTCTTACAGATTGTGAATGATTTGTTTTTTCCATTCAAAACACCACTCTGTAAAATGTATGATCAGCAGATTCCCGAGCGGAAATGGAAATTTAGTCCAGCAGACGTCTTTTCAAGCCCATTTCTAAATGGCCGTAGAATAGGATTGTGGATTGACCTTACCAATACAGATCGATATTATTTTCCGGACGAAGTGAGACAATGATTCGTGTGCAACAAACATGGATTGATTCAATTTTAGGTCACAGAAAAATCATGTAGATATGTAAAAATGGCGATGGCTGGTCGTGGAATGTCTCCTACTAAAGAGGAAACCGACACATTCATTAAGATCGTCACAGAATTTCATGAGAAAAATGCAGATCTTTTAGTGGGTCTTCATTGCACACACGGATTCAACAGAACAGGATTCTTAATCGCCGCCTATTTGTTTCAAGTAAATGTACGGACATGTAATTAAAAAGTATTATCTCGGTCGGAGAAAAAAGAGTTTAGAGTCAGGTGTATGCGAACATCACATATAAGCTCGAGACGCTGACAAATTGTCTCTGCTTCTGAACCTTTTTTCTCAGACAGTCATAATATTTTGAAAAGAAAATTTTTCTCAGGAGTACGGTCTGGATGCCGCAATCCGTGAGTTTGCTGAAAATCGTCAAGGAGGAATCTATAAACAAGACTACATCGATGACCTATATACACGTTATGAACCGCTAGAAGATGAGAGAGTAATGGCTCCAGAAAAGCCTGATTGGGAGCGAGAACATCACTACACTGATGGATCAAATCAAAACAACAACGGCACAGCTTCAAGCAGCCAAGCTAATTTTGCAAATGGTTTTCCACTTCTTATTTCCTACTTTTTATCTAAAACTTATCAATATTCAGGAAACGGGAATCAAAGCGCTAGCAGTAGTAATGGTAAAAACAATGGTGCCGGTGTAAAACAGTTCATGGACGGACTAGTGAAGGGAGCAAGACATGTTGAAGATCCGGGGAAGAAAAGTATACTACAAGCAAAGGTACTCATTGCATTGAATGAAATTCATAAAATGCCATTTCAGATACAAGAACTATGCAAATGGTCAAAACAAGGATTTCCCGGGCTCCAACCAGTATCATTAAGTCGAGACAACATCAATTGCTTTGAGAAAGAACCTTACATGGTGTCATGGAAAGCCGACGGAATGAGGTTACACTTACAAATATTCACCGAAAATTAGAAAAAAATTCAGGTACATCGTTTATATTAATGATGGCGAGGTCTACGCATTTGATCGTGACAACGAGGTGTTTGAAATTGATAACTTAGATTTTGTGAACAATGATGGATCACCACTTAAAGGAACAGTTGTCGACACTGAAGTCATCATTGACAAGGTTGAAACATCCTCACAATAATATTATTTTGAAGAGAAAATTTCAGGTAGAAGAGCATGGTATTCTTCGTGATCATCCTCGAATGCTAATTTACGATGTTATGAGAATTGGGGTACGTTCCATAGAGGCTTGGTCGGAGTCGGATAATCGGATATCCGATTATCCGAGTTTTTCGGATGATTTCGGATAAGTTATCCTACGGATAAATATCCGACATTATTCTTCGGATGAATTCTCCGACGGAGAATCCTCCGGAAAATTTTATTAATTATTTGGAGAAATTATCCGACGGAGAATTGTCCGAGCTTTTTTCCCGGATACACTCGGATAATTTCGGACAATTTCTCCGACAGAGGCATAAATCTTCCGAAAGTTAAGCAATAAGTTAGACCAAAATATCGCTTCCTGCAGTATTAAAGATGTTAGTTTTGCCCTTTTAGTTGTTATTAATGTTGCTGCTCATCGGAAAGTTGTGTTTTTTTGTCGCTCGCCTCGATTAAAGGCCAAAAAACCTTTTATCCGAAATACTCCGAAATTATCCGAAGAAAAGTCGGAGAAAAACTCGTGTATCCGATTCTCCGAAAACTTTTATCCGACCAAGCCTGGTTCGATATCTAGCTCGAATTCCATTTTGGTTTCGATTTTCAGGGATTCAATGTAATGAAGGAGCCGTTTTCTAAGCGATTCAAAATCATTTCTACTGAAATTATCGATAAAAGAGACGCTGGATTCAGAAGTGGAAAGTTGCGTCGGGAACGGCAAACTATGTCTGTCAGGAGAAAAGACTTCTATGTTCTCGAGACCACATGGAAATTATTTGAAAGAAAATTCGTAAAAAATGTTGGACACGAAATTGACGGACTCATTTTTCAGCCAACTGACAGAGTATGTTCGATATGTGGTTTACTAACACAAAATGAATGTTTTTCAGCAATATGAGACTGGAAGATGTGACAAAGTTTTGAAATGGAAACCCCCATCCCACAACTCTGTTGATTTCCTTCTGAAAATAACCAAGTGAGTGTTACATTATCATTCCGGTTAATATCGGTGTGCTCAGAGTATGTCGCGAGGGAATGCTTCCTGAATGGACTGGACATTTATTCGTTCAAAACCAGAGAGAACCATTTGGGTCGATGAAAGCGACAGCATCCCTCAGACAATATGATGGCAAAATCATTGAATGCACGTTAAAAGTGAACGAGCGGGGACAAGTAAGACATTACATAATAAAATTTTTTTCAATTCAATTTTGTAGGCAACGGAATGGGTGTTCATGCGAGAACGTACTGATAAATCTCTTCCCAACGGACTGCGAACTGCTCAAAATGTTTTGGACACAATGCTTCGTCCAGTCACAGAAGAATATTTGCTCGGGTACATTATTCAAATTAATTCGTCGGAATAAAACTGTCTTCCAGCTCCATCAACCACGCACTTCGTGTTCTGGATGCCAGAAAGAGAGAACATCTTTCACATGAAGGACACTCTGATCCCAAACGGCCAAGAGTCCAATGATTGATCAAATAATTCCATTTTTCATGCCAGTTTCGATGTTTTTTTCCTATTCTAGACACTCAAATTTCTTCAATTCTACGGTTCTCCACATCTGAACTCAGCAGTGTATTTTTACTGACTTAATTCTCATTTTATAATAGAACTCCTGCTTTTCGAATGATATGAAACTAGTTAATTATCTTTTTTCTGAAGTGTTTATTATGATATTTAGTTGCATCAACGTAAAAGAGGTTCAACAAAGTTCAGACTCCTTTCAATTGGGATCAAGGTGGAATTGTAGGGAAATTGCGTCGAAATCGTACTGCTCGGTGTTTCCGACACGAGGAAGTGGTCGGTTTTGAGCAGCAGTGAAGCTGAAAATAACATTCAAATTTTGGAGAATCGTTTATTCAACTTACGTAGCATATGATGGGAACAATTTAGTCCATAGATTGGCCGTATGTTCAGCTGCCCAAAACGGCTCTAGGACTGGGAATCGGAAGTTTTGAATTCGAATCGTGATGAACATGCTGACAATCAAATGCTGAAACTCTTCGTTTGTTTCAAAAATATGATCGTCATTCTGAAACAAGTAAACCAGTGGCTCCGAGTTTTCAGGTCTCCATGGAGCTAATCCAAACGCCAACCTGGGCACCCAATTATGATCTCCTCGAATTTCTTCGGCGTATTTTGAAATAGCTTCCTTGAATGCTTCGAATTCCTCACGCTCTACCTGCAGAAGAGTAAAATTATTTTTTGAATTCCCCCGCTTTTTTGCAACCCAATGGCGCAAGGTCGTCGCTGGCGCATTTCTAGTC